CCTTCACCCACCATCACCCCCATCCTCTCTTGTTGCTGGGAGAGCAGAGCAGCATGGGGTGTTCCTTTGCCCTGGGCAACCAGCCCCAGTAAAGGATGAGGAATTTTATCTTGCAGGGCTGATCAATCACCCTTGTCTGGGGGAAGAGCAGGGGCAGGAGGCAGCGGCTCCTTGCCCTGGGGCTGGGTTCCCAAGAGCAGCCAGGTTAACCCATTCACAGCTCTCCAGCCACCAAACGGAGCCCTGCCCAAACCAGCAATGCCCCTGCCCAAAGTGTCCTCGCGCTCAGCCTTCCCTCCAGAGACAGCCGCTATGGATGTGGGATGGGATAAGAGACACAGCAGGAGGATTCGGCACTCGTGAGGCACCGCCGCAGCCGAACGCACCAGGGACAGCATTGGACGTGTCCCTGGCTCAGGCCGTGTCCCTCGGCGAGGCCGCGGCTCCCGCACCGCAGGGACGCGCTCACCTTCTTGAGCTTGCCGCTCTTGGTGCCCACGAACACCACGCTGGAGCCGTTGTACACGTAGGAGGCGACGGAGGCCATGCGGTCCCGGCTGGAGGCGAAGAGCGGCACCCCGTCCACCGGCGTGGAGCCGCCCAGGGGCTGGTTGATGTCTCTGCGGGCCCCGCGCCGCATCCCCGCCGCGCACGTGTGCGGGACAGGGATGAGGTGCAGCCCTAGGTTCACCCGGGGATGTCTCCTTTGGTTTCCAGGATCCACCAGCCTTCCCAGGGAGCGGGTCTTGCGCATGCAGGGCCCACACAGGAGCACACGAGCCCATCCACGAAGCCTGCACTGCCTCTCCTGCACCCCCATTTCCGTCCCTGTCTCCTTTATCCCAGCAGCTGCAAGCGGAGCACCAGCAGCACCCCGACCCATAGGTTCACCCGGGGATGTCTCCTTTGGTTTCCAGGATCCACCAGCCTTCCCAGGGAGCGGGTCTTGCGCATGCAGGGCCCACACAGGAGCACACGAGCCCATCCACGAAGCCTGCACTGCCTCTCCTGCACCCCCATTTCCGTCCCTGTCTCCTTTATCCCAGCAGCTGCAAGCGGAGCACCAGCAGCACCCCGACCCAAGAGCTGAGCAGTAATGCACTTTCCCTCACACAGGTGTGACCAGTCCCCAAAGTCCAAGATAAATTCTTGTTCTGCTACTACCTAGCTGCAGAGATGTCCTTGCTGTGCCTCAGTCTCCCTCTGCCATACAGAGGATATGGACACTGGCTTCTCCCTGGAGCACTTGTCACCAGTAAGGGAGAACCCGGTGAGGTGGTATTAAGCCCTATCAGCTGAGACCCAGTAAATCCCTGCACGGAGTAGGCGTCAGGGCTGCGGCAGGGCTGGCAGCTCCCTGCGCCGGCGGTAACTCCACTCCCTCATTTTCCATGGGGGATGTGAAGTAACTACCAAACATTCGGCCTATCTAGCTGCAATTGAGATGGGGAAATCGGCCCGTGACTCTCCCCTGTGCTAGACAGCCTTCTAGCTCCTCTCCACTTCCCTTCCTTTACTTCATTTAACCCACGTTTATCATCTCCTAGCAGCCAAACTTAATATGCTTGGCAAAAGAAGGCCCCAGGGATTCTCAAGTCAGCCCAGGAACAATCTGCATGTGAATCAAGATTAAAGAAATCAGCTGAATAAAAACACAAAAGATGCAACTGTCATTTGTATTTATCTTGTTAGTTTGTTTGTAGTACCCTCCTGCTGCGGGAAGGGCAGGACAGCCTTCCTCTGGCTTCCTTGGATTTTTAGCGCCTGAGGTTGGGAACGGCAGAGCACTTCCAGCAGCAGCAGGCTATTCATCTACTTCAAAACTGCCTCTTCCTCTCATTGTCACAACTGCCTGATAACGACAAGGACTAAAGATGAGGAGGTTTGCTGCAGCTGCCTGCGCGCGGGGAAACTGAGGCACCAAAACACAGGTGGATTCTGCCAGCCCGCGCGCGGTCGAGGCCACGAGGCTCCCTTACCGCCTTCGTGCACTGCACGTCCTTCCCCAGCAGCCAGTTGAGCTCCAGGTTGCCCTCCCCCTGGTAGCAGGACTGCAGGCGCTCCTTGATCTGCGCGTTGATGGCGCGGATGGGGAAGACGCAGAGCGCGGAGTCGTCCGGGGGGTGGTGGTACTGCTTCTGCCCCTTGGAGAAGATGGCAAAGAGGACATCCTCCTGGGACGTGATATTGAGGGACTTGGCCAGCACCTCGCCCGGCTTGGACAGGTAGGCAGCTTGCAGGAGGCGGTACTCGGTGTCCCCTCGGACACAGCCAAAGGGCAGGGACACATAGGAATGGAACTTGGGGTCATCTTTGCAGAGACGGACGATGCGAGACGTGTAGAAGAGGTCGCTGGCCGAGTTGATGGACACTCCTTCCGGGGTCTCCGGCTGCACGGTCAAAAAATAGACAAAATTGCCACTGGCAAAACCGTAGATATAGAAGATGTCGAAGTGCGAAACAAGGGCCAATGTATCTGAGGGGATTTTGATAAGGGAAGACACAAAGTCACTGTGCAGCTCATAATCCAGCATGGCTGATGACTCCGGGTCCCGGGGAAGTTTGCGGCTGGAGAGGGTGGGAAAATAATCCTGCTTCCCGTCGACAGCCGTGCCGATGAAGAGCTTCCCGTCCTCCCCTTCGGAGCGCACGATCACGCCGTACATGGTGCCCGTCTTGTTGACGCTGGAGAGGTAGTGCTCCTTCTTGTGAGACGGCTCTACCAGGATGAAGAGGTCGTCCAGGCGCAGCAGCTTGCAGACCCCCTGGTAGAGGCTCCCGCACGCCAGCAGCCGGTTCTCCGAGTAGTCGATGATCAGCAGCTTGTTGACATTGTTGGTGAGGGTGAGGATCTCGCTGCACGGCTGCACGATGAGGGGTGGGTAGCAAGACTTGTTGTCCTCCTCGGGCCCGGTTTTGTGAGCCACCAGAATGGTCAGGTTCCCTGAGAGCTTGTACACCCGGTTGATGGCTCCAACGTAGACGGCTCCGGTGCCTTGGTGGACAGTCAGGTGGTTGAAGGTCCAGTCCCGGTTCTCGGAGTGGAAGGTGCTGAACAAGGCATTGCTGGACACGTTCCGGGAAAGCGATGCCAAGAAGAGGCAGACTAACGCCACTGAGCAGCCGTCGGAGTCCAGTAGCCGAGGCCAGTTCTTCCTCTGATCCATCCTGGGAAAGGCAAACTTCCGTGTGCCCTGCGTTCGTCCTTTGCCCCGGCAATGTTCCTCACATGGTTCTAGGGGGAAAAGGAAAAAGAAAACAGCATTCAGAGCAGAGGATTAGACCCAGGGTGCCCTGCAGAGAGAATTCAGAAGCGACCATCTAATTATACAGTCCTTGAGATAGAGTGAGGACGTCTCTGAGCCCAACAAGAATTAAGCAGGTCTCCTTACTTATTGGTAAGCAGTTCAGTCTTGATGCTTTGCCACTTGGTTCAGGCTCTGCGTGTTAATTTGTTATGTGGTTTAGCTGTTTGCAATGTACTCGGCTCAGCCATGGGAGGGGATAATCAGCTCGAGCCCAAGACAAAGCCTGCAGTTCACACACCCAACGTCAATCTGCAATCTTGGCTAAAAGGATGTCTCCTGCAGGGCATGTTGTTGGAAGCAACAGAGGAAATAAGAGGTGGTTTCTACCTTTAAATCCTCTATGATTTAATTTGAAAACCTGGGGTAGAAGTCTCGTGCAGCAAGTGCACTGAGCACACACGCAACAAAGCTGGCAGCAACTGCTTTCTCCCACTAAGAAGAGCTCAGAAATATCCATACGGGCACTTCTCAACCCAAAATATTCCACAGCCCTTGCCCGGTCTTTCTGCTGGAAAGCCAGGGAGACGCCAGGCTCCCCTCCCACCACAAAGGCCCTGGAGCCCTTGCAGACAGCAGCTTGGTACAAAAAAACCACTCGGACAAGAAGAGGGAGATTGTGCGTGGAGTGAGGAGGGAAGTCGAGAGATGGATGGGGAAAGCAGAGGAGACAGACGCACATTCTGCACGTGGTAAGAGGCAGGGCCTGCAGAAGAGCACGGGAAATCCTGCACAACGAGCAGAAAAACCACGAAATCAGCAAACACGAGGAGCGGGGAGCGCCGTGAGGACGGATCCGAGGAACCTGCTGCCGCGGGGAGGGCCAGGAGGGCATCAACACCCGCGGGCTCCACCACCCCGACAGCAGCACGTCCCCCTCGGCCACCCCGGCCACGAGGGACGAGGCACCTGTGTGCAGCCCTTGGGGGACGAGGCAGGGCCTCCTCCTCCTCCTCCTCCTCCTCCTCAGCAGCCCCACGTGCCCTCACAGAAGCCCAGTCCGCAAAGCCTCGGACCTCCCGCACCCCGACGAGCCCCGCGGCAGCAGCGCTGGCGGGG